TTCTATCTACATTACAAGCCAGCTGTCTTACCAGATCCTCAGACTCCATTCAGTGTGGAAATGGACTGAAAACTACTCTGTGATGAGGCTGTCAAGGGCTGTTCTTGAGCTGCTGACACGAATCATTCCTACGGTTCTGCTGTCCATGGCCACCCCACCAGTGAGACCTTGGGCTCATTCTTAGGACCCCGTGCTCATCAAGTATCTCTGACATCTAGCAGAGCCAGTGGCATGCACCATAGCAGGGTATTGCAAACTTTAACACACAATCTGAGGCTTCAGGGTTTGCTGAAACACAAGTTGTGGGGCTCCTCCTCGAGTGTTTCTGCTCAGAAGGTCTTGGCGGGGGGCTGGGAATTACACTTCTAACAAGTTCTCAAGGGAAGCCATTGCCGCTGGTCTGGAACCCCACTTTGAGAACTGCTAGTCTCTAAGTGTCCAAGATATGCACACTTAGTACATATGTGTTAATAGGTCACTCGGTGCCAAGTTTACTAATCACTTAAGGTAGCTGTAGCTACTTCCCCACACAATGTTAAAACAAATTAAATTTGCATGAACTGTCAAATCTTAAACTGGTCCAGAGTGACCTGGTTTCTTGTGGGGGACAAAGGCCACTGTGTGGACCTAAGCTCTGGACAAGGCAGACTCTGGTGCAAGAGTCAAGCCCTGGGAGAGAGTCCAGTCTGACAGCTTAATACAGGTCCTCTAAGCAGTGGTCCCCAACTGCCGTGCCACAGGCCAGGATGGGACAGTGGCCTGTTAGAAGCCAGGTCACACAGCAGGAGGTGAACAGTGCATGAGCAAGTGTTTCCCCCCAGCTCCACCTTCTGTCTGATTCACAGGAGTGTCGACCCTACTGTGAACTGTGCATGTGCTCCTTATGAAAACCTAGTGATACATGTAAAGCGCTTGAATCATCCCGAAGCCATCCCAGTCTGGTCTGTGGAAAAACTGTCTTCCACAAAACCAGTCCCTGGTGCCAAAAAGCTTGGTGCCTGCTGCATTACAGGCAGTTCATGCCGACACGGCCCTACACAAAGGGACACGTCAATGAACACCAAAAGGGTCAATGAGGAGACAGGTGACCTGAAGCAGCCCATAACCAGGTAAGTCTGTTGGCCAGAGAGGCAGGACCCTAGGTGTGAGGCTGAGATCTCTGCAAGGATGCAGTCTCAGAGAGGCCTGGGTCCCAGACCTGTCCACTGCCATGGGCAGGGGCCTGCCTCGCAGATGGAAGTCAGAAGCCACATCGCCAGAAATGGAACCCATGACTAACACCAGAGCTGCAGTGAGGAGGATGGCGTCAGACCTCAGAGCATAGGCCAAGCCCTCACACACCCAAATGCCTCCTGGGGCCGAGCAGCTGCTACCAGTCTGTGAGAGCTCTCATGATGTGTATTTAGGGAGAGACAGGGGCTGTTGCTAACTGGAGAGGGAATGCCTTCTGTCAAGGCATCCACATTTCAAACCTGTTAAAAGACAATGCGGTCGTGTGCAGTGGCTCATTCCTGTAATCCCAGCATCTTGGGAGGCTGAGACAGATGGATCACTTGAGGTCAGGAGTTCGAGATCAGCTTGGCCAACATGGTGCAACTATCTCTACTAAAAAGACAAAAATTAGCTAGACGTGGTGATGCCTGCCTGTAGTCCCAGCTACTTGGGAGGCTGAGGCAGGAGAATCACTTGAACCTGGGAGGCAGAGGTCACAGTGAGCCAAGATCATGCCACCGCACTCCAGCCTGGGTGACAGAGCAACGGTCTGTCAAGGAAAAAAAAAGACAATGCTGGTTGTGTCCTTTGACATGGAGAGAGACCATGTGCAGAGTCTGGGAACCTGGGAAAACTGCCGGTTTCCCTGCCCACTCTGTCAGAGTGACGGAGCCTCACTCTGTCACCCAGGCCAGAGTGCAGTGGTGCAATCTTGGCTCACTGCAACCCCCGCCTCCCGGGTTCAAGTGATTCTGATGCCTCAGGCTCCCAAGTACTGGGAGTACAGGCAGGCACCACCATGCCTGGGTAAACTTTTTTTTTGCTTTTAGTGGAGACAGTGATTCACCATGTTGGCCAGGCTGGTCTCGAACTCCTGACCTCAAGTGATCCACTTGCCTCAGCCTCCCAAAGTGCTGGAATTATAGGCATGAGCCACTGTACCTGGCCAAAAGATCTTTTCTTGGGCCTCAATTAAAGTGATGGGATGGTGGCCTCAGTCCAGAGCTGTGTGGGGTGCTGGTAATACCAGCCTTGAGGCAGGTCAGAATGTTTCCCCTCTGAACAGTCCAGACCACCAATTCTCGTGTCTTCATCTGTAAACACAGACTTCAACTTTTATTTATGGTTCTAAATTCAAGGGAAGATAAAAAAAAATTAAAAAACACTGATTTCCAAATGGGATTATCAGCATCTAATTACTAACATGCTTCCTTTGTGGGACTCTTTCACGTCAGGAAATAACCCAGTTAAGGGGCTGACTATAAATTACTAACTCCTTGCTTACCCTATGAAAAGATGGCATGTTCTTTATGAAACCCACGTTTTAAGAGAGAAACCACAATGACAAAAAAATGAGTGGATCTATTTTAAGCAAGGGTCAGGAATTTAACTGTAGCCCATTCATGTTACCTAAGAGCACAACACAAAACCAATTTCCAAAGCAGGAGCTGCTGTATCCACGATAGGTGACCCACTGGAGGCAGCTCAGGGCTGCTGCTCTGACTCACTGATCCTTCAGGAAACCATGAGAGGGGATTATAACTCACTTAGGGAGATAACATTATTTTCATATTCCCTCTTGAGGCTGCATCTATTCTTAATTGCTACATTACAAAACTACATGGCGGCAACCGCTACTTTATAAGGGAAATAAACAGTTTGAAGGCATTTTTTAAATAATATTTTTACTTTTAGAATGGGCATTCTATTCTTTCCTCATGCATTTGTAAAACTGGATCCATGGACTGCATAATTATGACACAATCCACAATGCCATTTTCTAAACAACATACGTACCTAGAAATTGGAATACAAGATAAGAATGGTGAATAAACCTTAATATACTCACTGATAAAATGTCATGCCTATTCTAAAGTGGTTTGTAAAACTATAATAATGTGACTCATTTCTTAAGTTACAAAGTTGCATAGGAAAAGTGCGCTTTGGCCTACCAATGCTCTATAAAACAAAGAAACAACCCCTGTCACTCCACTGTGTGTGAACCCTGGGGGAAAAGCCACAAGAGACAGTGGCTTCTGGTGTGCTGCTATGACCACAGCCACAGGACCTGCACTGAGGAGCAACCTCCTGTTCTAGCCCTGTGGCACCACACTGAAGAGCAGGTTGGCCTCAGCTGGTTCAGCTGGAATACTGTATCCCATGACTCAACAGTTCCCGTCCTAGGTGTACTCCAAGGCCTCGACCAATGCTCCCCAAATTTTTATTCCCTTACCTCATAAAATACTTTTGAAAAATGTATGCACCCCTTTGCCTTAAACTGTCACCTAGAATTTTCATTATAAACTGGTTTAATAAAGTAACAAAATAGTTGCAAAGGATTAGGCAATTTCAACTATAATCTAAATAATGGTATTTTAAAATAAAATGCTTGAATAATTCTTTAAAATAAGAATAAAAACACCCAGAGTGATTTAATTTTCACCATTATCCATTAAAATTACTCAAGCAAACTGCTTTATAAGAATAAAACATTTTATATCATTTCTTTTTTTCTTGAGATTGAGTTTCACTCTTGTCACCCAGGCTGGAGTGCAATGGCACAATCTTGGCACACTGCAACCTCTGTCTCCTGGGTTCAAGCAATTCTCCTGCCTCAGCCTCCCAAGTAGCTGGGATTACAGGCATATGCCATTGTGCCCCGATATTTTTTTTGTTGTTGCATTTTTAGTAGATAAGGGGTTTCACCATTTTGGCCAGGCTGGTGTCATACTTCTTACTTCAAGTGATCCACCTGCCTCAGCCTCCCAAGGTGCTGGGACTATAGGCGTAAGCCACCATGCCCAGCCCATTTTATATCACTTCTTACTCTCTTTCTTTTCTTATAAATGCTGCTTCCATACACTGCCACATCAGAATTGTACAAATACATATTTATGCTTCAAAATGTCTGTAATTAATCATTCTATCATACTTCTCTACAGTAAAAACATGTATAAAGATTTACCGCTAACTTTTTTCTGTGACTTTGTTAGAATTTTTTATTATACGTTGGGTTATCACTAGAAACGTCAGTAAGAACAGCACAAAACTATTCAAACAATAAAATTATGATATATTTTGATCAGTGACAAACATGAGATGTGCAAATCTACTGGTCATAAACTTGAAATGCTATGATGAAGGAGGCTTTGCCAATGTTTCAGCTGCATTTTTTGTGAGTGAAGTGGTGTGGGACACTCAGCCACGGGCAGATCAGTCCTGAGGCCAGTGCACGTGGGAACTGAGGGTCTCAAATTCAAGCCCTTACATTGGAAATCCGTGATTGTGTTTATTCCTTCATCTAAACCTGAAATATTTTCACTTTAGAAAGCTGATTGCCAGTTGTACACACATCTCCACAGGTGCTGCGAGTAGGTGTGGGAGTGGTTAATTCGGGAGGCTGCCTTCCTAGCTGGGTCCCTTCAGAGCCGAGGATGCCTGCGGCACACTGCGGCTGCTGTCCCACCCAGGGGTGTAGGTCATCACTGCGCCTGCCCTTCTTTTTGAGCCTGCTTCTCATCGGAGGGAGCCCTGGAGCCCCAGCTCTCCTAAGCATCTGGCGAGTCATCATGGCTGGGCCAGTTAGTGTAAGCCCACCCTAGGTAGTGGGGCTATGCTCCAGTTCAGGCTGCTCTAAGTGGACACTAGGCCCAGTTTATATCCATGAGGCCCCTGGGATCAGACCTGATGAAGGAGAAAATGCAACACATCAACATCTGCCTTTCCAATCTCCCCACTATGCTCCCAAAGGAAGTACAGTGACTCCTCCCACAGCACTGGGCTCTCACCTCCCGTTGAGCACGCTCCTCTTCTCCAGCCCGCTGGGCAGGACCACGGTGACATCCACGGTGCTGTCCCTCAGTGCCTCCTTCATGCGGACCAGGTTCTGCTGTGACCCGAGGGCCCCGTCGTGGGAGGGCTTCTGGTCACTGTGCACCTGCAGAGTGGCAGCCTTTCCGGGAGGTGGGGGAGCACGGGCCTTCATCTTCCTCCTTAAAACCACAACACAGAGGCTTGGAGTGAGCGGCAGTGTTCCACCTGCCTCAGAATAATTCATTCTTATACATTCTCAGGTCTCTCTTCAGGAGCACCTTCCAAGTGGCACGGCCTTTGTAAAACCAGTGTCCCCCAAACAAGTACAAACTAATAAACTAAACAGCATTGAGGAAGGGTTATTAAAAGGAAGCATTCCTGGGAAGAAACACCTTAAAAACGTGCTCACTGTCGGGGAGGTTCACAAGCCTGTTTTTCATGGGCCCTGGACAAGGTGAGGGTGGATGCAGCGGGGTTTGGCCTGACCCTTTCGAAATTGTCACAGGGATGACACATCACACAAACTAATGATCACAATGAATCAGGTGGGCTCGCTGACACATGCAACACTCTATTAAATCCTGCCCCAGCTCCGAATCTATGGCCAGTTCTGAGGATCTGGAGTCCTGTGTTGTGCTAAATTAGCCAGCGAGTCGATCACACCACCCACCACCTGTCCACACAGCCACTGCGGAGGGACACGGCGGTTTGGCAGGGAAAGGATGCGAGTGATGGTAAAGGGGTAACAAACACACGACCCTGCACTTATTTCAGTCTGTGCTTCCAATGCTCTATTCACCTGTGGAGGATTTCTCAACACCTGATGAGTCACCCATGCTGGGGATCATTTTCTTTTACCATTTATTTTAGGTTCAGAGGTCCACGTGCAGGTTTGCTGTACAGGTAAATCGCATGTCACCAGGGTTTAGTGTACAGATTATTCCACCACCCAGGTAGTGAGCACAGTACCCAATAGGCAGTTTTTCAATCCCTATCCTTCTCCCTTATTCCACCCTCAAGTAGGTCCTGGTTCTGATGAACATTTATAGAAATTCTTGTTTCCTCAAGATTAGCCAGGGAAGGCAACTGACCTTGTTTTATATGGGTACATTATTTTACATATAGAATACATGTATATGATATATGTGTATGTACATACTTCTGTATAAGAACCTTACTTCATATAGGCCCTGGAATTTTACTGTCATGGTAGCAGGTCAAATACTCAATACTTAACATTCATTAGGACCTCTGCTAATAAAGACCTTAGTAAGTTTGCCTTGTTGAGAGATCTGTGGCTCACCCAAAGGCATCCAATTATCTGGTATCTGCTCAGAGATGGAACTCAGGCCCGACTGACTCTAAAGGGCTTGCTCCCACCGCCTCCCTCCCTATCTGGCCACACTCTAGTTAGAGGGTCTGCAGAGAGGCAGCACAAGCCTCAGCCCACTTTCACCTCTGCTCAGTGGTCTTCCGAAGGCATTAGCCTGAGGGATCAGAGACACAGGAATTCCTTTTCTAGAGATTTACTCTAAACAATCCCACAAGACAGCATCGTGGGAGGCTGAAAGTTGGTCATCACAACATAAATTCTAATGGCAAACAACCCAACCATACATTAACACATCAAACAAATAATCTAACCATACACCAATAAAAGATGCCAATAAATTATGTTATACCAGCACTAGGCAAATATACCTTAAAAGTATATTGTTTTATGTGAAAAATGCTCAATACAGACTTTTTAGAGTAACAGTCTTCAGAATATTATTTGTTTAGAAAAATTCTATTTTTAAAGAGAGGTCTAAATTAATTATAACAATGGATCATAAAGCAGTTTAGAAAGATAAAGAACTGGCAAAAATGACCTTGGGTGATAAGCACTATGACATATATTTTGCTGTTTTTACTTCTATGCATTTCCGAATTTTTCTATAGTATCACTTGTATATGTATTATTTATAAAATGAAACAGATCAAAGGGCTGATATGCAGAATTTACAAAGAACTAAAACAGATTTATAAGAACAAAACAAACAAGCCCATTCAAAAATGGGCAAAGGATATGAACAGACACTTTACAAAAGAAGACATACATGAGGCCAACAAACATATGAAAAAATGCTCATCATCACTGGTCATTAGAGAAATGCAAATCAAAACTACATTGAGATACCATCTCACGCCAGTTAGAATGGCGATCACTAAAAAAATTGGAGACAACAGATGCTGGAGAGGATGTGGAGAAATAGGAACACTTTTACACTGCTGGTGGGAATGTAAATTAGTTCAACTATTGTGGAAGACAGTGTGGCGATTCCTCAAGGACCTAGAAATAGAAATTCCATTTGACCCAGCAATCCCATTACTGGGTATATATCCAAAGGATTATAAATCGTTCTACTATAAGGACACATGCACACGAATATTCATTGTAGCACTGTTTACAATAGCAAAGACCTGGAACCAACCCAAATGCCCATCGATGATAGACTGGACAGGGAAAATGTGGCACATATATACCATGGAATATTATGCAGCTATCAAAAACGATGACTTCGTATCCTTTGTAGGGACATGGATGAACCTGGAGACCATCATTCTCAGCAAACTGACACAAGAACAGAAAATGAAATACCTCACGTTCTCACTCATAGGCAGGTGTTGAACAATGAGAACACATGGACACAGGGAGGGGAGCACTACATCTGGGGTCTATTGGGGGGAATAGGGAAGGGACAGTGGTGGGGGGGGTTGGGGAGAGATAGCATGGGGAGAAATGCCAGATATAGGTGAAGGGGAGGAAGGCAGCAAATCACACTGCCTTGTGTGTACCTATGCAACAATCTTGCATGTTCTTCACATGTACCCCAAAACCAAAATGCAATAAAAAAAATGAAAGAGGTCATTTAACATGACAGCAAAAGTCATTAGATGATGGTATAAACTTACTGACGTTCACGTCACTGGTTAATATAAAGCTATTCATGTTCACACTATTAAAATAACATTCAGGGACCAGGTGCGGTGGCTCATGCCTGTAATCCCAGCACTTTGCAAGGCCAAGGCGGCCAGATTGCCTGACTCAGGAGTTCAAGACCAGACTGGCCAACATGATGAAATCCTGTCTCTACTAAAAATACAAGAAATTAGCCGGGCGTGGTGGCAGACGCCTGTATTCCCACCTACTCAGGAGCCGGAGGCAGGAGAGTAGCTTGAACCTGGAAGGCAGAGGGTGCAGTGAGCTGAGATAGCACCACTGCACCCAGTCTGGGCAACAAGAGTGAAACTCCATCTCAAAATAATAATAATAATAACATGCAGATCTCATCCTTTGCTATAAGTAGGTATAAATTATTTTCTATTAAAAAGCGTACACTTAGAATATTTATAATTTTTATGTTATATCCTTATCCATTATATACTTCTTTCAATTAACAGAAATAAAAATAAAATAGTAGACATGTATGGCACTACTGTAAGAACTAAATACTTATTCTTCACTATGCCACTCTAAGGAGGTATTATTGACATTCCTGTTTATAGCTAAAAGTGTGAGCACATCTTCCCAATGTCACAGAGAGGTAAAACTGACAAACTCATTTTTGGTTTCAAAGACTGAAATATTAACCACTACATTATTCAGTCATTATTAGAAAGAACAGATTCCATACCATTTCAGAGATGGAAAAAATCAAGACGGAGAAACAGGTTATATATAGATTCTTCCATTAACTACCCTTTGGTCCAGAACTAGCAGCGCAGGCTCTGAGCCATTAGCATTACCACCCAAAGCTGCTTTCAGGAAAAAAAAAAGTGTTTTTCATTTTTAGGAAATGCGTATCTTTTCCAGTTTAGCTTGCTTGAACTCCTTCAGAACTCACTTCAAACAGGAAGCAGCATTCATTCATTCAGCAGGCACCACACTGGGAGTGAGAGGCAAGAGAGGTCTCCATTGCCCTGCATTTATCCCCAGCAAATAATCTGTCTTCAGCTACCCAGAGCCACTCCTGTAACAGAATTTCATCTACCCTCCCTCCCCCAGGTCCAGTGCCACCACCCTGGTCCAAGCCCTCATCTCTGCGGCACACACAAAGATGGAGTCACCTGAATCACATACGTTACACCACCCTTCCTCCACAGTGACGAGAGCAGCCGGTGCAGACTGCTGTCTTCTCAGGCCTGACTTTGCTGTGGGCATGAACTGTTTAAATGGCTGGCAGGGCCCACTGGCTGTGGCCTAAGCTGCAACCAGCAGGCTGCAAGGGCCCCAGGGAGGCTTGTTTGCCCAGTAGAGTGCTGTGTGCACTAGTGTGTGCATGCATGTGTGTGTGCCTGTGTGTGCACGTGTACACATTAAAGTTAGCTAACATTTAAAAAATTAGAGTATGTCACACTAACAAAATGAATTTTTGGCTGCTTTTGGGAAAATAAGATGTGATGAAGACTGGACACTTTCACAGTAAAAAAGAGCTGTGTGTTTCCATCTGGACCTCTTGTCACTTGGCTCAGTGACATCACACATCTGTGCCCTGTAGGGCTATAAACTCATACCCAAACTGCTAGAGAGTCTGAGCCCTAGACGTGAACCATTCTTCAATGTCCTCTGCTCTTCTGGCAACTGGTCTACAGCTCCAGTTTCCAGGAAACCAACCCATCCCCCAGCAGCCTTTGCCCTGCTGTATTCTCTGCCTCATTTGCTCTGCTCACAAAGACATAGCTCAAAACAATGTCATCAGAGAACCCATTTCTGGGTGCTCCAGGACTGGGCACACACATAGCTGAGATCACTGATATCTACACTGGCTGCACTGTGGCTGGAAGCACTTGGGGAGCTTAAAACATGCCCAGCTCCTTTCAAGGACCACTTAAATCTGAATTCTCAATTCAATTATTATTTAACAGCTCCAGAAAGCAGCAAGGCCACTTGTGTTCTCAACATGTAACATAATGTGGTTTATATTTGTGGGTAGAGTTATCTACCACATAATGCTTCAGTCAACGAGGACCGCATATACGAAGGTCGTCCCATAAGACTGTAATATCTTTTCTGTGGTTAGCTATGTTGAGATATACAAATGCTTACTACTGTGTTACAGTGGCCCACGGTGTTCAGCACAGTAACACGCTACACAGCTGTGCAGCCCAGGAGCAATAGGCTATAGCAGACAGCTAG